AATAATTTAAATTATACTAGCTTAATAGAATATATTATTTACTTATTTAATAGATCTATTAATTAGCTAAGTAAGAAATAATACTATATAATCCTATCTACTACTAAGACTGAACTATTAGCTTTAATTACTATAGCTAAGTAACTGCTTTAATAGAGATGATTTTTTAACTAAATAGAGTTTAATTCTAATTACCGCCTTTCTATATTATATAATAATACTTAGATAGTCTAAATACTAACTAGTCCTATCTTTCCTTTTTAGACTAGTCTAAAGTATATAGATATTATAAACCACTAGCTTAGATAAAAAGTTCTAAATAAGACTATTAATATTTATTAGATTTTAACTAATAAAATAAAAGCTAATAGTCTAACTAAGTAGTTTAGAGATTAGAAATATTAGTAATTTATTAACTAACTTAATATAATAAGAACTTAACTATTTATCTTTTTTCTATTTTAGTAGTATATTTATCTATCTATTTACTCTAATTTTAATAGAACTACTAAGTTCTATAAAACTATAGGGGTATATTAGACTAGTAGCTCACCTGACTATTAAACCCTAGCCCTAATTCCTGGATTGAGCTATTTAAACTATTATTCTAGTCTAATCTATTACTAGCTAATTTACCTCTGTATTCTTACCCTAGATTCTTACCTCTATATTCTGAATATTTTGATTTCCTAATTAGGAAATTAATAAATAAAGGATTTTGGCTTAAATAGTCTGCTTTGTTTAATTGATTTTCTGAGAATCATTCTAAACCAGTAAACCAGTTGACTAGATATATATTGAAATCAGTAGCTTATTTATTTCCTTACTTATTCTATCTTTGATTCTTTTGATTTTAATTATCTTTGACTTTAACCTTGCTTTGACCTTACTTCTATACTCAGTTTATATAGAAAAGTAAAAGTTAAATAAAGCCCTAATTAATTCTATTTGAAAAGAACTGAAACTCCAATATATAATATATTTAAGAGATTTTATATAGTCTTGATAGAAGATATATATTTTAATAATTTAATATAAAATTCTACTTTTTATAAGTATTCCAGAACTTAATATAGATAAGAGATATAGAAGAAGTAGTTCTTTAAAAAAATAAGAATATTATTTAAGTAAGTAATATAAAAGATATCTAAAATATTATAGAAAATTAAATAGATATAATATTAAAATATAGCTAGAGTATTAGTTAAACTAAATAATATAATTAGATACTTAAAATACCTATAATAAATTTAAAAGACTATCTTCTATTTATTCTTTTATTTAATATAGATTTAGTAATAGATATCTTAAATATCTAGTTTTAAAAAGTATTATACTTCTATAATTCTATCTAAAATTTCTAAAATTAGAAATAAAGAATAATAATTCTTAACTAAAATCTTATTAAGTTCTTTTAGAATCTATATATAATTAAAGACTTTTATTTTTTTTAATATAAAAAGAATAAAGACTTCTATAAAAGTCTTTAAAAGCTAAATTTATTTTAATTAAAGATTCTTATTAATATAATAGTAGAGAGTTTAAAGTTCTACTTAGAAAAAAAAATAAAAAAGTCTATATAATAGATTTTTATTTTTCTTTAGATTAATTATATAATCTAAGAAACTATAAGAGAAATATAAGACAAAAGCTACTAAAAATAGTCTAAAGAAAATATATCTCTAAAATCCTAGAGCTCTAAAGATATTATTATCTTATTAGTTAGAATTTCTGGGGTTTTCAGAGATATTTCATCTTTTAATAACTAAATATCTTCTAGAAGTTTTACTATAGTATCAATATAAATAAGATTTTAATAGACTTTTATAAACCTATAGAAAAGTTAGATTTCTATTATTTAAGTCTTATACTACTACTACTAATTCTATATAAATAAATAAATATATATATCTATTAGAGTTTCAGTCCTTTTTAAATAGAATTAATTAGGGCTTTATTTAACTTTTACTTTTCTATATAAACTAAGTATAGAAGTAAAGTCAAAGCAAGGTTAAAGTCAAAGATAATTAAAATTAAAAGAATCAAAGATAGAATAAATAAGAAAATAAACAAGCCACTGATTTTAATATATATCTGGTCAACTGGTTTAGGATGATTTGGGATAATCCTTAGAAAATTATTAAATAAATTAGACTATTTAAGCTAAAATTCTTTGTTTATTAATTTCCTAATTAGGAAATCAAAACATTCAGAATATAGGAGTGAGAATCCAGAGTGAGAATATAGGAGTAAATTAGTTAGGAATAGATTAGACTAGAATAATAGTTTAAATAGCTTAATCTAGGAATTAGGGCTAGGATTTAGTAGTCAGGTGAGCTACTAGTCTAATATACCTCTATAATTTTATAAAACTTAGTAGTTCTATTAAAATTAGAATAAATAGATAGATAAATATACTACTAAAATAAGAAAAAAATAAATAATCAAGTTCTTATTATATTAAGTTAGTTAATTAATTACTAGTATTTCTAACTTCTAAACTACTTAGTTAGACTATTAGCTTTTATTTTATTAGTTAGAATCTAATAAATATTAATAGTCTTATTTAGGACTTTCTATCTAAGCTAGTAATTTATAATATCTATATACTTTAGACTAGTCTAAAAAGGGAAGGTAAGACTAGTCAGTATTTAGACTATCTAGATATTATTATATAATATAGAAAGATAGTGTTTAGAATTAAATCCTATTTAATTAAAAAATCATCTCTATTAAAGCAGTTGCTTAGCTATAGTAGTTAGAGCTAATAGTTTAGTCTTAGTAGTAGATAGAGTTATATAATATTATTTCTTACTCAGCTAATTAATAGATCTATTAAATAAGTAAATAATATACTCTATTAAGCTAATATAATCTAAATTATTACTAAAGCTAGTATTACTAGCTATATAGAAAACTATCTAATTAGAACTAGAACTATATTTAATAGCTAGATTCTTTATTTCTTCTAAATAGAAAATCAAGTAATCTACTACTCTAAGATATTTAGGGTTTAAATTAGTTAGATATTCTATAAGTAGTTAATATAATTTAGCTATATTAGGCCTAGTCTAAACTATAGAATATAGAACTAACTCTACTTTTTACTAAAATTCATAAATCTAATTAGCTAAGATCTTAAAAAGTAGATTCTTAGTTAATTTCTTACTTAAGAGTAGAGACTTAGGACTTCTAAGATACTCTAGATTAAATTTATTAATAATTTTATTAATATAGATTGATTACTTAATCTATAGCTTCTAATTTAGATGATCATATGATATCTAGATATTTAAAAATAATATAGATTTACTAAGGTTCTTTATATTAAATAATATTATTAATTTTTCCTTAAATTTTATTGAATTTCTCTTAATTTAATTAATAGAATATACAGATTATATTATCTATAAATATTAATAAAATTAGATAATTATTAATATAGATATATTAATTCTCTTTAATAGAACTAAGCCCTAGGGCTTTAAGCTTTGCCCTAAGAGTCTTCTACTAAAGAAGAGATAATTATCTTAGACTATATAAAGTCTTCTATAATAGATAAACTATTTATTTATTTTCTAATCTAGAAAGAGGACTTATATAGATCTTTTTCTTAATAGAGCTATTAAGAAAGATAATAATAGTATCTAATTAGTATATTTCCAGATCAAATACTATAGTTAGAGCTAGGATAATTCTTAGAAATCTAGCTGTAAGTATACTAGTATAGATTTTTAACTAATTAGAGATTTGTAAATCTTCTTATATATATATCCAGGTCTTAAATCCAGCTAGTTAATCTTTTTTATTAAATTTATAGATCTATACTTATTTAAGTAGTAGGACTTCCTTATTCTTTATATTATAGATTAAATATATAATCCAGGTGCCTAAGATATTTAATTAATTAAGTTCTATCTTTAAAGCTTAAATAAATTAAGATAAATAGAGATAACTTATTAATTTCTTCTAGTTAGTAGATAGTAGTAGAAGCTGGGATTTATTAATAGTAGAGATTTCTTCTTTATTAATATAGTTAATTATTATTTAAATAGCTTAGAGAACTAGTCTCTTTTAAGAATAGTCTAGATTAGATAATTTAGACCTTTATTTTTTTAATTCTCTGATTAATTCTATATTAAGAAAATTAATTTTATTAAAAGTCTTTTAATTAATAGTAGAATTATTAATAAGAACTATAAATAGTAAGATAGGTAGTAAGTCTTTAAAGATAGAAGATATATTATTAAGAACTATATTCTCTAAGAATTCTATATAGTTATATAATTCCTCTAGGTCATGGGATCCCTCTGAATTATAGGATTTCTCTGGATTATATAATTTCAGCTTAGAGATATCCTCAATTTCTGAGTTATCTGATGAAGGTGGTTCTTGATTAATTAATTCAATATCTAACTATTCAATTTGGATTGAATTAATTACCTGGGTGAGCTGTTGTTTTATTAATATACTTCCTAATTTAGAAGTGTTGAAGTTTCAGTTCTTTTCAAATAGAATTAATTAGGGCTTTATTTAACTTTCACTTTTCCATACAAACTGAGTATAGAAGTGAAGTCAAAGCAAGGTCAAAGTCAAAGATAATTAAAATCAAAAGAATCAAGGATAGAATGAATAAGGAAATAAACAAGCCACTGATTTCAATACATTTCTGGTCAACTGGTTCAGGATGATCCTCAGGAAATCATTGAACAAATCAGGCTATTTAAGCCAAAATCCTTTGTTTATTGATTTCCTAATTAGGAAATCAAAACATTCAGAATACAGGGGTGAGAATCCAGGGTGAGAATGCAGGGGTAAATTAGCCAGGGATGGATTGGGCTGGAACAATGGTTCAAATGGCTCAATCCAGGAATTAGGGCTAGGGTTTGGTAGTCAGGTGAGCTGCCAGTCTGACAAGAAGTTTATTTATAGTTAGACCCTTCATCAAACACAACATCACATACAGATATTACTTGGTTAAGGGTGGGGATCTATATTCGCTAGATATTTAAAGCTCTATATCCAACAAGGAATCCAATAAGGGCTCTAAGCCCTAGTTTATCCCCTTTTAGTAGATTACTAATCCAGGTGTAGACATGTGATCTATACTTCCTTAAATAGGAAAGGTCTGGTTTCTCTGGTAACCATAAGGGTTGTTGTAGAAGGCTTTTCCATACAGTTCTATAGGGAGTTTCCCAATTAAGTTGTTTATTTAGCATCCTATTTAGAATATATATGGCTATTTCCATAGTTTTAGGCCAAATAAATAGTAGCAAGTCTAAATTAATTAATAGATATCTTATTTTAGAAGTAATTAGAGCTCTAGCCCTCTTAGAGAAAGAATTCTACTTAGACTAGTATATAGATAAATAATTAATAATTATCCCCTTAGAGCTAGCCTAAATTAGAAAGATGTTAAGATTCCTATCCTAATCTAAATAAAATTACTTAGGTATAGTCCTATATTAATTAATTATATAAATAATTATATTAATAATTAATTATAAGATACTTAATTTAGAAGTTAGAGCTTACCCTAAGTAAAATTTTAAATAGAAATAATAGAGATAACTGATATATCTCTATTTATTCTATACAGTAGTTATATAAATCAGATCCTAATATAGAATTTCAAAGAGTTTAATACCTAGATTGATTTTCTGTCTTAAAATCTAATAATTTGATTAACTGATTCAGCAGATAGAGTATTTCCAGATTAGTTCTAGTTTAATATTAGTTAATTAAATACTCTAAGTCTTCTAACTAAGATATCTTAGAACTTCTTCTTCTAGATATCCTAACCTATTATACTATTCTTTTATAGTTCTATTTAAAATATAGGACTTTTTAAATATTCTAATTAGCTATTTAATTATTAAATTAAGAGTTATTAAAGATTTGACTAATTATTTCTATTAAATAAAATATAGTCTATAAATCAGCTTAATATAGTAGACTGGTATTTTATTAGCTATTTCTAAAAGAATATATTTTCTATTATAGAATAGTCTAGTTTTCTAGGCCTTCCAGCCTGACATGATATTATAGTAGAATCCAGGAATAAAGATAATATTCTTTAATTTAAAAATAATACTATTCCCCTTTAGGTAGATAGAATAGAATAGAACTATTCTATATCTCTAAATAGTATTAGAGATATTCCCAATATAGATATAATTATTATCAACTAGTCTGTAATTAATAAATAATTCCAATGAATTATACATATAACCATTGGATATAGTATTAAATATCTATTATTTTAATAGATTTATTAATATATTTCCTAGTTTAGAAGTCTATTAATATATTAATAGAGTAAATTTAGATAAATATTTCTCTATTTATTAATTTTTAAAGATTTTTAGAATAATAAGAATTATTTAATAAGCTTAACAAGTCTTCTTATAGATATATCTAAATTTCAGATTCTTATAGACTTACTGAAAGTAGTTTAGCATATCTGGATTAGATAATTATATTAAATTTCAGAGGTCTTTATTAATATATTAATAGTCCTGAAAGTTATGGTTTTTATTATTCTTTCCTAACTTATAGAGGCAGAATTAGCTACATAATCTCCTCTTTCAGGGCTTTGTTTATATATTGCTGTTTTCAGTAGTTTGTTCATTACTTTGATCCTGGAAGATGACATGGCTCACCCTATTTTATTTATTAATAGATTACCTATTCTGGTAATTTAACCGAATCCAGTCATGTGCCTTGTAGATTAATTCAAGAAAGTTAGAGATTTCTTCCTGACTATTTTTAAATTTTAATAAGCCTAGACTACTATATTAATATAAAGATACCTATTATTTTATAAATTAATTTAAGAAAATTAAAAAGTACTCTAATTAGCTTCTTAATCTTACTAATTTAAAGCTCTACTACTTCAAAATATATTAATTCCTATTAACTAATATAGCTCTTAATAGAACCCTTTATTAAGATCCTAAGATAGTAATATTGATTTATAAGATCTCACTTTCTTAATTAGTTAATTAGTACTAGACAGTTTTATAAGGCTTAAAGAATTTAATAGCGCTTTTCTAAATTAAGTATAGTATACTAATTTTACTTACTTAATATAGAATTAATCAATAGACTTAATAAGACTAGTCCTAAAGTAGTTTTATTAAATTCCTTGAGATTCTAGTAGTAGTCCTGCTTAGCTTCCTAATATAGTAGATAATCTGATTTATTTAAGTTAATTATTAAATTTACTGATGATTTTATCTATTTTATACTAATAGTACTAGATTAGATTAAGTAGACTAGCTTAGTTAGCAGTTCTGGGTTTACTAATTCCTATATTTCTTTGTTAATTGCGAATAGTCGAATTTGATTAATCTATAGAATCTAGTTATATAACTAATTTAATTGTAGAATTCTATTAGATTACTGAATAATCTGATTATTTATATTAAATAAGACTAACTATAGCTAATTTAATTAATAGAGGGATAAAATAAATTAAAATAAGAGATCTTCTAGACTTATAACTGTTAGAGTTTCAGTTCTTTTTAAATAGAATTAATTAGAGCTTTATTTAACTTTTACTTTTCTATATAAACTAAGTATAGAAGTAAAGTTAAAGTAAGATTAAAGTCAAAGATAATTAAAATCAAAAGAATCAAAGATAGAATAAATAAGAAAATAAATAAGCTACTAATTTTAATATATATCTGGTCAACTAGTTTAGGATAATTCAGAATAATCCTTAGGAAATTATTAAACAAATCAGGCTATTTAAGCCAAAATTCTTTGTTTATTGATTTCCTAATTAGGAAATCAAAACATTCAGAAT